CAGCAATTTCAGTCCTTGGTGGATAGCCTTTTGTGCGCAGCGGTTCACACGAGGCCCGACATCTCTTTCACTATTGGGCAGCTGGCAAAGGTGGTGCAGAATCCATCAGAAGAGCAGGTGGATGCAGCTGAGCATGTGGTGAAGTACCTGAACTCTCACCCAAGCATTGAAGTTCAATACTCCGCATCTGCAGAGAAAAACCGAATGGGGTTAAGGTGCTGAAAGAGAAGGGGGAGAGGCTTGGAGAAAGCAAGCTGGTTCTCACTTGCTTTACCGATGTTACGTGGGCTTCTGAGAAGGAGGATTCCTCATCTGTTGGAGGATACATCTGCGTAGTTGGGGGAGGACCTGTTAGTTGGAGGTCAAAGAAGCAGACGGAGACGGCACTCTCTTCCGTGGAATCAGAGTATATGGCGATGTTAGAGGAGATTGGCCAGGAGCAGAAGGTTGCTATGCCGCTGTTTTGTAATAGCAAGGGGGCTCTTGGGATGGCCAGGAACGGTGTGCTTCATGGGCTGAACAAGCATATGCGTATCAAGTGGCACTGGCTGCGTAAGGGGGTGAAGAAGGGGACGGGGAATCCGATCTTCATCAAGCCTCACCAGCAGCCAGCATACTTCCTCACCAAGAGGCTTGCGGATGAGCCTCATTGGCGTTGTATGCGCACGAGTGGAATGAGCATGAACTAGCATGCAATAATGGGAATGCAGCCGGCAGGCTGAAGGGGAGTGTGTTGGATGCAGATTCACATTGCACAACATCCTGCCATCTGTTTGTACGAGTATGCATGTGCGAATGTATTTGCGTGTGAATGGTGTGTTCGTGAATTTGATCGTTTTCGCAATTTTTGCTTGAAGCATTTGCAGGTACTCGAACATTGTGTGCTTCGGCACAACATTGTACGCGCTATGAACAGTGCAAGCAGAAAGGACGAGCTCGCAAAGAAACCAAGATGGAAACTTTGCGGTTCGGTTGAATTGATTGCGCAGATTCAGTTCTATCCAACTCGAAATTGTACTGTTTTGTTTGGTTGACTAGAGTGTAACAGGGAAGGTCCTATAGGGGTACAATTAGGTGAAGGTTCGATGTTGTTTGTCTGTATCTGCATGCTACAGGGCCAGGGGAAACCAGCGAAACCAGCATTTGGCTGTTTGGGCAAAGACAAAACAGATTCTGTTTTTAGGATCTGAACCTGGTTGTTGTTTTTCTAGGTTGGAAAACAGAACCAGAGGTCGTTTACAACCTAACATCTGCTGATTAGTCCAGCCAGGTTGGTTCTGTTGCTTGGAATTTTTTGGGATCATCCTTGGTTGTTCCCAGGTTGAATCCCAAGATGCTAGAACTATTTATTCCTTCTCTGTTTGTACCTGGATATAGTCAATTTGATTCTATCGAATTCCTCCCTTTCAGGAATTTTGTTTCTACGCTATACGACGACGGTATGCTACCTGAGTCAACGCTGGTACGCTTGCACTACGACGCGCTACGACGTTCAAGGTACTCTTGTTATTTGGACTAAGTCATTCTTGACTCCTCTCTCTACAAACTCGGACCCAAGGATAGGGGCTGGTCTTGTTCCTGGCACCCAAGGCCCTTGGAGGTGACCCCGAGGAGAGGTTTTAAGTGTGATTAAGTCTTAGTAGCCTAAGTTGGACCAACAAGCGCCATGCTGCTGGTACCAGAAGTTGGCAGCTGTTTTAGAGGTGATGGGATTCAAGACCAACAGCTGCATTGAGAGCCTCTTTCTTAAGGGGGAGAAGTAGAAGCTGGTGATGTTTCTGGTCTACGGGGACGACATTCCTCCCTTCAGCAGCAGCACGAAGGAGATCCAGAACGTGCAGCAGCAACGGATGGAGAACTTCAATTACAAGACCCTTGGGGAGGTAAAGTACTGTATCGGGATGTACGTGGAGAGGGATCTGAATCACACGTGGTTGCAGCAACTGGGGGAGAAGTATGGGATTGAGAAGAAGCGCAATGCTGCAAATCCTCTGCTAGCTGAATTCAAGCTTTTGAAGGCTGCTGATGATGAGGGGGTTGAAGCCGATGAGCAGCAGCATTTTTAGTCCTTGGTGGGTAGCCTCTTGTACGCAGCTGTTCATACGAGGCTTGAAATCTCCTCATTTGGGCAGCTAGCCAGGGATGTGCAGAATCCATCTGATGAGCAGTTGGATGAAGCGGAACGTAAGGTGAAGTACGTGAACTCGCATCCCAGCACTGGAGTTCAATGCTCAGCATCTGCACAGGTGAAGCAGAAGGGGGTTGAGATGCTGAAGGAGAAAGGAAAAAGGCGTGGAGAAGGTAAGCTCGTTCTCACTTGCTTTACTGATGCATCTTGGGTTTCTGAGAAGGATGGTTCCTATTCTGTGGGAGGGTACATCTGCCTGGTTGGGGTAGGACCCATTTGTTGGAGGTCCAAGAAGCAGACAGAGACGCACTTTCCTCGGTAGAGTCCGAGTACATGGCGATGTTCCATGGGCTAAATAATGTGATTTGGCTGAGGAGGCTGTTAGAGGAGATTGGCCAGGAGAAGAAGGTTGCTATGCCGTTGTTTTGTCATAGCAAGGAGGCTCTTGGGATGGCCAGGAACGCTGTGCTTCGTGGGTTGAACGAGCACATGCGCATCAAGTGGCACTGACTGCGTAAGGAGGAAAAGAGGGGAACGGTGAATCCGATCTACATCAAGACTCACCAGCACCCAGCAGACTTCCTCACCAAGAGGCTTGCGGATGAGGCCGATTGGCGTTTGGTGCTCATGAGTGGAGTGGGCATGAACTAGCATGAAATTATGTGAATAAAGCTGGCTGCCGTCTGTTTGTACGGGTATATGTCTGCGAATGCATTTGCGTGTGAATGGTGTGCTCGTGTGTTTCTTTGCTTTAGTAATTTTTTCTTGATGAATTTGTAGGTTCTCGTGCAATGTGCGGTTCGGCACAACATTGTACACGCTATGAACAGTGCAAGCAGAAAGGACGAGCTCGCAAAGGATCCCAAGATGGAAGCTCAGCATTTTGGTTGATTTGATTGCGCATATTAAGTTCTATCTAACTCGAAATTGTACTATTTTGTTTGGTTAACTACAGTGTAGCAGGGCAAGCACTGTTAATGCCTCCCGAGGGCGACGCGTCGAATGACGGGGCAGAAGCCCGCCGCGCGCCTTGGGGCGCACAGCGGGCAGAGAACCGCCGCGCGCCTCGGGGCGCACGGCGGGCAGAAAACCGCCGCGCGCCTCGGGGCGCACGGCGGGAAGAAAAAACTGCCGCATGCCACGGGGCGTGCGGCACAGAGAGTAGCAGTAGGAGTTGCAGCGGAAGCAACGAGGTGGTGAGCCCACCCACTGGATCGATCCAAGGGGATCGACCTGCTCTGATAGCATGTCAAAGTTTAGAAGAAAGAAGACGGTTGCACTAGCAAGAATGAGGATACAAATAGCAAACCCTAGAAGGGTTGTACTCGCTATAGAGCACCCCACTATAGGCTAGAGCATAACATTCTGACAAAACGCTCCCTGAGCCGTAACTCTGCAATTGCATAACGTTTCTTGAAGCAACTTGGCTTATTTTAAAGCTCTTGAAGCGAGCTTCAATATAGGAATTTTTCAGCTTAATCTGATCGACAGCCTGCACGAGACGGTGGGCGGCGTACAAGGTACTCTCGTTATTTTGGCTAAGTCATTTTTGACTCCTCTCGCTACAATTTTGGACACAAAGATAGGGGCTGGTCTTTTTTTTTTTTTTTTTTTTTATAGAACGGGTTTGCACTATACCAATGCAAATACATTTACAGTCGTAACTGATTTCCAGAGGGAAGCATGCTATCCGTAGCCGAGGACTCCGGCGCAGCCCCCCCCCCCCCCCCCCCGCATCCGCCTACGGTGGCCGATGAAAGGTCTTGGGGTTCTGCCAAATGGATAGGAAGTCCACCTTCCACGTGGCCTGCTCCCCTGCCTCACAGATCCTCGCGACTGCCGCACGTTCATCTCTTTCCAGCCCCCCCCATGGGTCTCGTGGTTGCCCTTTTCTCCCCCCCCCCCCCCTCCTGCCTTTCTCAACTTTTCCGCTCTGTAGAGCCTCGCTTGTCGCATGAAGTCATAAATTGCCGCCCGTGCCACCTTTTTCCTCTGAAATTTCTCCTTTCGGTACACCGCATCCACTCTGGCCAACCAAATCCTGCGCAACGTCGCCCCCGGAAACCCGGATTTCGTGGCCCCCTCCTAAAACAGCATGTCGCCCAGCGTCCTTGTTTGATCTGTTGGGTTCACGATCCTCAATGACCTCAGCAGCGCGCCGACCACCGGTTGGATGACTGGGCAGGTGAGCATGCAGTGAACTAGGGTTTCTGGCTATCCACAGTGTGGGCAACATCCCCTGGCTCCAAGGAACACCAGCCTCCCCCCTACCTGTAGGTTCTTGCTGTGAATCCTCAGAACCACATCCCTTGCTCTGTACAGGATCACCAGCGAGTCTCTTCTTTCTCTTACCGCCTTCCAGTCTATTCTGTTTCCCCACTCCTCTTCCCATTCGTGTCTCCGCCTGGACGTCACCACTGGCCCTGCCAGCGCCTTCCTAATCACTCTTGGTGCTGCCGGCCTCATATTTTCTCCTACCAGCGATGTCAGCCACAGCTTCGCTCTCGGCTCGCCCATCGCGCCAAGCACTTTAACTCCTTTAACTGTCACCGGCGTCACACTCTTAACAGGGAACGAAGCCGCGTATGGTCTTTGCGGCGCCACCAGGCTAGTGCCGTTGGGGCATTCCAGATGGTCGGTAGCCACAACCTCGTCCTTAACCCCCCTCACCGTCCAGTAAAGAAATTCCTGCGTCCGTGCCAGAACCGTTCGTATCACCTTTGCTGCCGCCACCACTGCTCCCGCTGACCTCTGCACCGTCAGCATCGCCTTCCACTCGTCAGAGACCGCCTCATACGCTTTTTTCGCCCATCTCGCCGATGCCACACTTCCGAATTCTGCCGTTAGCTCCTTAACGCTTTTTAGTTCTCTGCTACCATCTCCCCTGGTGATAAGCAGGTCCCCCAGTCTGGTTGTCCGGATTCCTGCTGCCCCCGAGCGGTTCCCGAACAGGCTCCCCCCCCCTGAACATGATTCTTCGGTTGAAACATAGCAGCTCGCGCTCGGCTTCCCACCCATTCGATAGCGCCGGAAGGTCTGCAAACGGGGACTCCCAGAAAACTTCTGCTATCGCCTTCCACCTTTTGCTACCTTTTTCCCAATGTCTGCCAGCAGTCTTGTGGGCGAAAAATGTCGCCACCCTCTGCGGAAGTGCCGCCGCCTTCTCCGACAACCACAACTTGGTAACATTTTGCTCCGTAAGAAACTTCCCCACTTGCCGCATAGCCAGGCTATCAATCTCTTCCTTCGGGTCGACTAACCCCAGTCCACCTTCCTTCTTTGGCAGACGAGCCAGCTCTCCGCTCCACAGTACGAAGATCTTCTCCCCCGTGGCTTCCCCTTTTGATACATAGTTGTCACACATCTTCCGGATTTTCTCCCACAGCTCCTCCGGCGGCGGGTAGATCTGCGCTTGAAACAGAAGAATCGGCATAATGTAGTTGTTGATAATCGTCACTCTTGCAGCTGTCAGCAGATGATGGCTTTCCCACTTCGCTAACTCCTTCTTCCCCTTTTCCCATGCCTTCTCCCAGGAGGGGGCTGCTTCTCCATTCGGCGTCACCCAGACCCCCAGTAGCCGTTCTAGGACCCCTGTCTCCGCCCATTTGAACGTCACCCCCGGTAATGTCGTTATGCCTTTATTCATTCCCAGCGGCATGACGATTGATTTGTCTCGGTTGATGTGTAACCCCGACATCTCCCCGAACCAATCAAGAGCCCCTGCCGCGGCATGCAGCTGATCTTCCCTTTTCAGGATTAGGGAGGTGTCACCCGCGTACCCTACGTATGACACAGCCTCCCCGCCTTCCGCCTTGACCCCCAGACCTCTTGACCTGATTTCTGCACATAGCGGCTCCAGAGCACACAGGAAAAGGTAAGGCGCTAAAGGGCATCCCTGTCTCACCCCCCTCTGCATCTCCACTCGTTTGCCTAACCAGCCGTTTATTGCCAATCTGGTCTCCGAACCCTTGTGCAGGCCCTCCGTCCATTTGACAAACTGCCCCGGCAGACCGAGTTTCTCCAGCGTCTTGAAGAGGAAAGACCGCGATACTGTATCATACGCCTTCTGGAAATCCACCAACAGGAGGTACCAGTCCTCCCCATCATTATCCGCCGCTTCAATCGCGTCTGCTACCAGCGCCACCGCATACTGCGTCCCGGTATGAACCCGTGTTGTTCCTTCAAGATTATATGATGCAGCTCTTGCTTCAGCCTGTTCGCCAGCACCTTCGCCAGTACCTTGTAAACCGTCGTAAGTAGCGTTATCGGGCTGTAGTTGGTTAAAACGTCTTTCTCTCCCTTCTTGTGCAGCAGGACCGTTACCACTGTAGTCAGCGACTCTGGCAGTGTTCCCGTCGCCCGTCGCCTTGAAGTCTCTGACAAACCTCATGAACGCCCCCCCCCAACAGGTCCCAATGCTCCACGAAAAGCTCCGCCGGGAGTCCATCCTGCCCTTGTGACTTCCCCTTTGGCAGCCCTTCCAGCGCCTCATTCACCTCCTTCTCAGTCCACGCGGCCCCAAGCTTGACTACTGCTTCCGCCGGCAGCACCCTATCCACGCCAAAGTCATTCCCACCTCAGCCCGGATTGACCATCATTGAAGGCTTCCGCGAAGTGAGCCGAAGCTGCCTTGAGCACCGCTTGCGGTCCTCTGCATCTTTCCCCTTTGAATCGCACTTCCTCAATTACCGTGCGTTCCTTCCTCATCTTGACCTTAGCTGACAGGAAATGCAACGGGATCTCTCCCTGCAGTTCTTCCGTGAGCCCCGCAAAGACCTTCAGCCTTTCCCGCTCGTTCTCCCGATAGGCTTCCAACTGCTCCTCCCTGTCGAGTAGTAGCGCCTTCGTTGTGTCGTCTGTCGGTCCTCCCATGACCAAATGAAGCATCTGCTCAACTTCCTCTGTCAGATGCAGCTGCGTCGCTGCCACCCTCTTCCTCTCCTCCTTCTCATGCGCCCTCAGCCCCGTCGTCAGCCTCGAGATCATCCTCTCCAGCGACCCTTGACCCGACCGGCTGAGCGCCTCTGCAACCGCTTTTATGATTTTCCTCACCCCCTCCTTTTACTTCCTTGTTGCGGGAAATCTTCAGAGCCCCGGGCCAGGCGCGTGCTCCGATACGAATTTGAGCCGGATCTTGATGGCAAAACTGTGGTCCGACAGCTTTCTCGGCACGTCCACGAGACCAACTCCTTCCAGGTTGCCTAGCAGCGACACGGAGACCAACGCTCTGTCAATGCGAGACTTCGACCCCGTGGCTCTCACCCTGAAGGTGTACTCCCTTTCCGCGTGGAACAGCGCACGGAAAGCGTCACGGAGGTCATGAGGCTGCCAAGCGTCCAAGAATCGCTGGTTCTCCCTCCCCGACCCTGTTTCCGGCGACCGGTCTAACTCAGGATCAGCGATTATGTTGAGATCTCTGTTGGTGTAAGGGCCTAATAAACTCAAGCTATTAAGACTTTATCACACTTAAAAACCTCTCCTCGGGGTCACCTCCAAGGGTCCTTGGGTGCCTGGTACAAGACCAGCCCCTATCCTCGGGTCCGAGTATGTAGAGAGAGGGATCAAGAGGGACTTAGTCAAAACAGCAAGAGTACCTTGAACTTCGCGCAGCGTATCGTGCAGACCGTTGATCGGATTAAGCTGAGAATATACTATATCGAAGCTCATTCTAAGAGCTTTAAAATAAGCCAAGTTGCCTCGCGAAAAGTTTTGCCATTACGAAGTTATGGCTCGGACAGCGTTAGCCTAGCGTTGGAGTGCTAGCGTACTAGCGTTGACTCGGGTAGCATTCCGCCTTCGCACCGCGTAGAAACGAAATTCCAGGAAGGGAGGAATTCGCTTGAATCAATTTCACTATATTCAGGTACAAACAGAGAAGGAATAAATAGCTCTATCTAGCAAGGACCTTGGGAATCAACCTGGGAACAACCAGGGATGATCCCAAATAATTCCAAGCAACAGATTCAACCTGGCTGGACAAAATAGCAGGTGGTAGGTTGGTGAACAACCTCTGGTTCTGTTTTTCTAACCTGGGAAAACAACAACCAGGTTCAGGTCCTAAAATCAGAACCTGTTTTGTCTTTGCCCAACCAGCCAAATGCTGGTTCCGCTGGTTTCCCCTGGCCCTGTACCATGCAGATACAGACAAACAACATCCAACCTTCACCTAAATTGTACCCCTATAGTGCCTGCCCTGCTACACTATAGTCAACCAAACAGAACAGTACAATTTCGAGTTGGATAGAACTGAATCTGCGCAATCAAGTAAGCCGAACCACAAAGCTTCCATCTTGGGTTCCTTTGCGAGCTCGTCCTTTCTGCTTGTACTGTTTATAGCGCGTACAATGTTATGCCGAAGCGCACATTGTGCGAGTACCTGCAAATGCTTCAAGCAAAAATTGCAAAAGCAAACAAACACACGAACATACCATTCATACGCAAATGCATTCGCACACGCATACTCGTACAAACAGACGGCAGGATGTCGTGCAATGTGAATTTTGCACCGAACACACTTCCCCTCAGCCTGCCGGCTGCATCCCCATCATTCCATACTAGTTCATGCTCATTCCACTCATGCGCACACAACGCCAATGAGGCTCATCCGCAAGCCTCTTGGTGAGGAAGTCTGCTGGCTGCTGGTGAGTCTTGATGTAGATCGGATTCACCATCCCCCTCTTCACCTCCTTACGCAGCCAGTGCCACTTGATACGCATGTGCTTATTGAGCCCATGAAGCACAGCGTTCCTGGCCATCCCAAGAGCTCCTTTGCTATCACAAAACAGCGGCGTAGCAACCTTTTGCTCCTGGCCAATCTCCTCCAACAGCCTCCTCAGCCAAATCACCTCCTTCACCCCATGAAACATTGCCATGTACTCTGACTCCACGGAAGAGAGTGCTGTCTCCGTCTGCTTCTTTGACCTCCAACTAACTGGTCCTCCTCCAACTACGCAGATGTATCCTCCCACAGATGAGGAATCCTCCTTCTGAGAGGCCCACGTAGCATCGGTAAAGCAAGTAAGAAAGAGCTTGCCTTTTCCAAGCCTCTCCCCCTTCTCTTTCAGCATCTCAACCCCTTTCTGCTTCACATGTCCAGATGCGGAGTATTGAACTCCAATGCTTGGGTGAAAGTTCAGATACTTCACCACACGCTCAGCTGCATCCACCTGCTCCTCTGATGGATTCTGCACCACCCTGGCCAGCTGCCCAACCGAGAAAGAGATGTCGGGCCTCGTGTGAACTGCTGCATACAAGAGGCTGCCCACCAAGGACTGAAATTGCTGCTGCTCCTCGGCTTCAACCCCTTCATCCTCTGCAGCTTTCACAAGCTTGAATTCTGCTGGCAGGGGAGTTGCAACCTTGCGCTCATTCTTAATTCCGTACTTCTCCCCAAGCTCCTTGATGAACTTCTCCTAGTGCAGCTTCAACCACCTGTGATCCAGATCCCTCTCTACGTGCATCCCGAGGTAGTACTTTACCTCCCCAAGGTTCTTGCACTTGAAGTTCTCCATCAGCTGCTGCTGCACCTTCTGGATCTCCTTCATGCTGCTGCTAAAGAGAAGAATGTCGTCCACATAGACCAGAAACAGCACCAGCTTCTCCCCCTCCCCCTTGAGAAAGAGGCTCTCATCACAGCTGCTGGTCCTGAATCCCATCTCCTCTAAAACAGCTGCCAACAGCAGCGTGGCGCCTGCTTCAAGCCGTAGATAGACTTTTTCAGCTTGCACACCCTGCCCGTAACATCCTCATACCCAGGTGGCTGCGTCATGAAGACCTCCTCCTCTAAAATCCCGTTGAGGAATGCCGTTGATATGTCCATCTGGATAATGAACTTCCCACTAACGGCTGCATCTGCCAACAAGACACGAAGGGTAGGGGGTTTGGCAGTGGGAGCAAAGATCTCATTGAAGTCCCGCTTCTCCTTCTGCATAAATCCCTTAGCCACCAACCTACTCTTGTAGATGGTGACCTGCCCCTTGTCGTCAGTCTTGATCCTTAGCACCCACTTGCATTGTACCGCTTTCTTTCTCTCAGGCAGCACCACTAGTTCCCAAGTCCCATTCTCCAGCAGGCTCTGGTACTCAGCATCCCTAGAAGCTAGCCATTTGTCCCTATCTGGTCCAGCTAATGCCTCCTCCATGCTAGCTGGTTCATCTGGTGCAGGGGCAAGAAAACAGTACGCAGGCTGATCCTCCTCATCCGGGTCATAGCCATGCGGTAGAATCAGCAATGCCTCCTCAGTCCCAAGCTGCTGCTCCGCTACCTCAGCTCCTGCAGTCAGCTTCTTAGTAGCCATACGGGTACGTCCTGGCCTGGAGACGGGTGTCTCCCATCCCTTCATAACGACACCCTTCGGCTTCTTAGTTTTTCCCTGCTGCTGCTCTCCTCCCTCGGATCCAGCAGCTCCACTAGTGCTACCGCTAGTCTCCACACCATCACCTCCACCAGCAGGTGCCTCCTGCACCTTCTCTTTATCACCACCCTCTGCAGCTGCCTCCTCTCCCTCCTCCCACACACTAGGAGTCAGGTCCAGCTGCATGGTGATCTGCTCCATCTGCTGGGACACCCTGTTTCTCCCAGCTCCCATACATCATGCCCTCAACAAACTTCACATCCCTGCTGTCAAACAACAGACCCTTGGAAGGCTCCCACAGCAGCCATCCCTTGCTCTCAGCAGCCAGCCCCAAATGCACACACCAGATTGCACTCGCCCCCAACTTACTGCGGTAGGTCTTGGGGACGTGGGCGACTTCCATGCAACCGAACACCCTCAACATGTCCACCGGCGGCTTCCTCCCAAGCCACCTCTCCAACGGCACCCACGAGTCATCCCCAACCTTTGTGAGTACCCGGTTCCTAGCGACGGTAGCGTGCCGAACAGCATGGGGCCACATCAAGTTGCCCAGCCCAGATTCTATGAGCAGCGCCCTAGCTGTCTCCAGAATTGTCCGGTTCGCCCGTTCTGCTACACCGTTGGACTGTGGGGTGTAAGCCATGGTCAGCTCCCTCTGGATGCCCTGCTTCTTGAGCCAGGCCGTCATCTCAGCTCCAAGGAACTCACCACCCCGATCTGTCCTAATCCGCTTCACCACACACTTCGCTTTCTTTTCCACAAACGGCAGCCAATCGTCCCGAATCGTGGAGGCGGCGTAATCTTTCTGCTTTTGTAGATACGCCCACATTAGCCTGCTCCAGTTATCCACATGGTTAGGAAGTACCGCTCCCCGTTGTGCCCTTGCACCGGCAGCGGCCCCACCAAGTCCATGTGGACCAGCTCCAACGGCTTTTTGCTCCTGCCAGCCACACTATGGAAGGGGAAACGGGTGAACTTTGAAAGGAGGCAAATTTCACAGTTATCATCGGGTGGTTGTCCGTTCAGCTTCAAGCCCTTAACGGCTCCATCCTTCTCCAGCTGCTTCAGCAAAGGCATTGCCACATGCCCCAAACGTCGGTGTGCTGTTGCCCAATCCGTCTCCCCAGATCTGGCCGACACTTTCACACCAACCCCTCCAACGGCGTTGCACTCCCCCTGGGATGCAGACCCCTCTCCAGCCTGCCCCCCACCGTGCCACGCCAGCGCCGGCAGCTGCCACATAGATCTGTACACGTCCTTGCTCTCGTGCAGATCCCAAAGCACCCGATTGCCCAGCTTCCCCTTATAAGTGCGAGCCCCATCTGTGTTGGTGTTCACCCCAGCCTTGCCAAGCTTACGGAGGGAGATAAGGTTGGCCTTCAGGTCGGGGACGAGGAGAACGTCGTGCAGCACCACCGGCTTGCCATCCGCTCCCTTAAACGCAGCTCGTCCCGCACCAGCCACCTTCAACATGTGTCCAGAGGCAGAGCACACCTCGTTAATCGGTGCAGCGCGTACGTCGTCCAGCAGGTCCTTGCGCGGCGTCATTGTCCAAGCAGCGCCTGTGTCCAACACCCTATAGTCCAGGGGGTGCAGCTCTTCTCCAGCCTTAGCAGATGCGTCTCCTTGCTCC